CTCGGGCACGTCGTTCCGCTGCCTCTTCCGCGCGCGCCCACGCAGAGCTCCATTTATTATTCTATTAAATTCGTAGTTTCCCGTCGGGGGCCCACCCCTGCCTAGAGCTATCTCTCACTCACGACTTAATGCGATATTCATACCGAGGCGAGTGAGTGGACCGCGACTGGGGTCCGGTCCATATGCCTCGTCCGTAATTAAGTCGGACACTGCGCGGATCCTCCCTCGCGCGCTTTTTCTTATCCTCGGGGCGGAAAGCGCGGTGGCCGTTTTGTCTATCGTGGACAGTTGCAACAAAGTTGCAACAATAATAATTCGCCGACGGCCGCTCTTTCTTATCGCTACGGTACCGCGTCGACAACTGTAATTATTTTAATGATCGCTCGTACGATGACAGCGCGCGCTACTGTAATTGCCACGCGCGCATGTCGGGATTGCGTTAAACTCTTAATGTGTAACAAATAAATAATCGCGTTACCTAGAGCGATAAGTAACGGAGCTCGGCTTGGAGTCTGGCAGAGTATTCGACTCCGTATTTCGCGATCACAAGAATTATTCGAGGGCTCCTCTCTCTTTCCGGTGAAACAAAGGATCATTGTCAAAAACCCATGTTGAAAAGCAGCGTCATTGTGCTTACGTGGTCTCAATTTGACTCTGGAAGTTGACTTTACTTCCAGTGTGTGTCAGGTCGCTCGGTTATAGGTTGAACTACATATACAATGACGCTACATCTTTATCATGCACTTTCAGTGTCAATTTTGATAATATAATCTATTTTGACGCTGAAAATAAGCGTCGAACGTCAGCATGAAAAGGCATCTCAACCTTCCGAAGGCCAAGTTAGACTTTGAAGTCACAATCGATATTTTGATTGCAAATTCTGATAGGTAAATTTAAATCTGTAAAAAATATATAAAATACAATCCGACTTTTACGATAGCAAAAACTCGTTGTTAAAACTTTCATAAGTATACAAAAATTTTTTCAGATTTTTATACAATTTGAAACAATATTTAAAACTGCAATTTGAAACAATATTTAAAACTGCATTTAGTAATTACAAAACTATTAAACGTCATGGTATTAAAAACTAATTTACATCAACAAAAGTTTACATCAACAATGCATGTTATGAATACTCCACTACAATGCCAATAAAACTTTATCCGCATTATAACAGTAATAGAGGTTGATGTACAAAAATGATGTAGAAAAACAATCATACAATATCCAGATTCAGATTTTTAAGGCTGCAGACTTTTGCATAACACATAACGCATAGTACATAAACGAATCAACTAATCAGAATCTTTCCTTTCCTCCCATTTCATGGAAAAGAAGAATTTCGATTGGTTGATTCCCTTATGCACTATGCATTATGCTTTATGCAAGAATCTGTGCTGCGGCCATTAGTTGTGATGTTTTTCTTTTTATTTAAAATTATTTTTTAATACCATTACGTTTAATAATATATTAGACATCTGGTTAGAATGGTCTCGATCAGTATTCTAATAGATTTATCCAGAAAACTCTAATTTGTCCACTTTCCATCAGAACTCCAATTAATGCAACCAAATTCTTTTTCTAGTGTAGTAATTCTTCTCGCAAAATATCGCAAAGTTTACTTTCGGTGCTTTTAGAAATGTCGAAGAAATTCCCGTGCGAGTGGAGTCACGCGTACACGTCATACGCGATTGCAACAGATGCACCGTTTGGAAAACAAACACGCGTGCTATGTGCACGCCGAAAGGGCGACAGCTTGAGGGGCGACGGCGGAGGCGCGGCGGCGTCCGTTGCACGCTGATAACACAATTAGCTTGTCTCGTCATGCGCGACCTCCGATAAGGGCCAACCGTACCCCCGGCTCCCCGGTGACCCCTACCTTCCTCCTTCGCCGTCCCACATCTACCACTGGCGTCGTACAACCGGCAGGATTGCAGCCGGGCAGTTGGATCGTCCGCGTCAGGCAGGATCAGGCAGAGAACAAGAAAATCCCCCCTGGGACCACGCGGCGATTCAGGGACGCGCGATAAGGGCGCGGGCTTAACCCTCTCTCGGACGCAAGGGCTGCCCCGCGACGTTAATACCTTCCGGCAGATTTTCCTTGGCTGATTTATTCCAGGAGAGGGTCCAAAGTCTCGCGTTGCACGTACGTGCATATATAGGCGGATATGAGAGAAGGCCACGCGGGACCACGTGCTTCAAACGCGGAGCAACTGAAGATCATGGTATTTTGTAAATTTTTTAAATACAAACTTACATAGATTTTATATCTTTAAATATTAAGTTATTGAGTATTTCATAATGTATTTTCTACATAACAGATAAAATATTCTACATAACAGATAAGAGTTTTTCCCTAAGATTTTCTACGTAACAGATAAGATTTTACCTAGCAGACAATGATATCTGAGGTAAGAATTTATGTGGTTTCCAGAAGAAAAAATTTCTCAATCCGTATTCATATGTATGCACGTGCAATAGTGGATTCGAAGATGGCGAAAGAGACACGTGCGCTTTTATAACGTTTTATACGTCTCCCCGTCCGGATTTTAAAACAAATAATTATTTTTAAATTAAGGTCCATTTATGGGTTTCCGGTTCCGAGAGGAAACCCCATCATTGTCATGTCCCTATATATCCACGCGTCTGATTTTTTTCTGTATTTATTACCGTACACGTGCACATGAGCCAGCGACGCGCGGTACAGCACGATCGTGATCCTTTTCGCTTGGATATTCGTATTTATGGGGATAGAGGGTTGACCCTTCAAGGGAGATATTTTATCGAATCATATATCCGAAGCTCTAGTACGAGGGGCCTGGGGAAAGATGTTACAAGAATTCATATTTTTATTGAAGACAATTAATATACGAATAAAGTACGTTTATTTTTTACATATTTCTTATCGTTTATTATATGTTTAATTATTTGTTTTTTTAGTTGAATATTTTGTATCGTTCATCTTTCTTCCTTTTTTTGCCAATATGAAGAGAAAAAGAGGAAAAATGAATGACGCTACAAGAAATTCAGCTGAAAAGAATAGACCTGTTTTTATGTACAGAGAATGCAGAATTTTGAAAAAATCTAAAATTTTCAGGGGTTTTCTTTTTTATCCTTGAAAATATATATTTTTATTCTAAAAACATTTTTTCTTTCATCCTTTTTCTTGATATAAAACGGTATAATCTATTAGCAAGTATGATATACATGTATGTATACTTACGTACGTCCTCATGACTCTCTCGCAAGGTTTTATGAAAAAATCAAGGTGATAGTAGAAGATAATATACAGTAGAAAAGAGAGAGAGAGAGTAGTTTATTGATACTGTAGTGATATCTTTCCTATACTCCTATCCTATATTATAGGTTTTGTGACTCTATTGTAGAAAAGGACAGATACAGTCTTATGTAGAATTCTTGTCTTCTCATTTCTAATATATGGTAGTTTATTTGCGTCACTTAAATTCTCATTTATTTGAAAATTGCATTAAAGTAGTCTCTAATCTTACGTAAAATTTTTAATAAAAATACCCAAAAATCTGAGCTTTCTCAGGGAGATAAATCTCAATTTTTTAACAAGATTTCAGTAAACTCCTTCGAATGCCGAATGGTTCGAAGGAGAAATCCTGCTTGGCCGCATCGGTTAGCAGTTTCGCCGAGCCCTTCTGGGCTTCGAGAAAGTATCGGAGTTCAGAAAAAAAAGGAGAGGCCAACGGGTGGATGAAGAGCACCGGCCGCAGGGGGTGGAACACGGTGTGGTAATAGCATAAATCCGTGAACTGTGTGTAGTTGGTTCCCGATGGTCTCGAGGAGGGGGAAGGGACAGGCAGGCCGGAGGCAGGCCGAGCGTTGGAAGAAACGACAGTCGCCACTCGACGCCTGCACCGAACGGAAGGTAGCTCTGTGAGCATTCGGCCTTTTCGGAACTCCGCTTTGCATACTCCGCGTGGAAAAAGTCTCCCCGAATTAGGAACTCGTTTTAAAAAAACGCGTTCTGTATTAAAAAAAAAAACAAAGGAAGATAAAAATTTCGCTACTCCGAAGAGATTTCTTCTTCCCTTCTTCTTTTTGTTTCTTTTTTTTTTTTTACGAAACGTAAGAACAATCACGTTTAAGAAACGATGAAACGTCGCGGGATCGTCTTGGACCCAGTGTGAACGTCCGGAGGAGGGGAAAGCTCGCAGTATCGATCGAGAAATCGATCAATCGTGTGAGTGGGCCGAGCGGAAGCGCCTTTTCCGGTCGGCGGGAATTTCGGCGAAGCGATCGCGAGAGGAAGATCGAAGAGATCGACTTCCCGAAGCGCTCGCTGAATCGCTCAGTGTCGCCGTGTGTTTCGCTTGGCAGCGATTCCGCACATGCGATTCCGAAAGCGGCGCGATTCGTGAAAGTGCGCCTGGCGGCGGTGTCGGTCTGTCAGCCGGACAGGTGCGAGAGTAATTGACACGAGGACGAAGTGAAGACAGTAGGGGAAAAGAAGAAAAGGCATTTGGAGGGAGCGAATAAGCGATCGAGCGAGCGGACTTGTTGTTCTCGAGAAAATCGATCGAGGACGTTAATGCGAAATAAAGTCAAGAGGAGGTGGGACAGAAATACCTGGAAATACATTCAAATAAACATTTTCGTAAACAAGTGTCGGAAGGATCGGATGGAACGTAGCGCGACAGTTTATTATTGAATAAGATACAGCGAAATAAAGCTGTGACATTTAACGGACGATAGAGAGACGAATGTAGGAGGGACAGAGAGAAAGTGACGTTACTTCGATCATACTAAGAGTGACCGAGAGGAAGAGAGAAAGCAGACGACGGGTGGGCCCGAAACAGGTCTCCACGTGACACGGACAAAAGTTCGCCGGCTGAAGGAAGAAGAGATCGGTGTGATCTCAGTAACGGAAGCGTTGTGCGCGAGTGTGACACATTCGGTTGCATCCTCGTCTCATCGGTTTTTTTTCTTTTTCCTCGGCTATTCCGTGAGAAAGTGCAGGCCTGAGAGCACGCGGATTACTCCGGGATCAGAGAAGAGAGAAATTTTACGACGCGGCGAGCGAGAGGAGGAGGAGGAGGAGAAGGAGGAGAAAAAGGAGGAAGACCACACGAACGCACGCGAGGAGACGCGATAAATTGATATTGCTTTATCGGATATCAGCGAGAATCGAGAGAGGGGAGACAACGGATCTGCGCTTCCCCGGGCGAATCCGCAAGCGTGGTAAGTGCGTTGTTTCGTTTATGTGTACATATATGTATACACAGATGTAAACACGCGGCGGAAACACGCCGCCGGCGCTCGGACGGAAATCGATCGTCCTCGACGATTGGTCCCCGCGGATATCGCGAACGTCACGTATCTTACGCAGGGACTGAAAATTGAGGTAGCCGGTGGTTTGGGGTTTTCCCCGGGACGATCGCGAATATAACGAGAAAAAAATATATTTCCACATGGATTGGATTCAGAGTTATCCTGTACACTCCGAAATTCTGCGCTACTCCGAAAAAAAAAACCTGGTGATAATAATCAAGCCTAGGTGATAGTTACCAAACTTTTGATGGTTACTAATTTACTTTTTTAAATAATTTCAAAACCAATACCCCCCAATTTTACTTTTCTACAATATTATATCTTATTCTTCTAATTATTAGACGGAAAGAATGGTTTTGCTGAAGTGTTAAAAATTTATAGTTACATGGAGATTTTAAAATACTTTGTTGAATCATCAAAATGATTTTTTAAAACGCTTAAGGATGTATTTTTTAACAGAATGAAAAAAATAAAGATTTTTCTACACACACATTGTATTTGAAAATACAAAAAGTTTAGCAATGATTTAGAACCTGGGCAGAAAATTATTTCAATAAAAAGGAGATATACTCTCTTTTAAAAAAGAATTAAAATAAAATGAGAAAATTTGATACTTCTAATACATTTATAAGCATTGACGACAATACTGTAAAAATTTTAACATTCCAGCATCCAGTTTATACGTCCTACATAATTATTGGTCCAAACAAAATTATTTTTAAATCTGTATCTAACTAAATTTTTAGATTTAGCAAAACTGTTCTTTCTATTCTATTCTACTAAATAGTTGATTATTATTATTGTATTCAATAATATTTATTAACTATTGGTTTAATAATTAATATCTATTACCAGACTTTTTTCTAGTGTACGATAAAAATGCAGAATAATAATTTACACATTTCAAAACTGTACTTTTCAGGATGTCGAAGTTCTTGAAAAATCCTATTCAATATTACTCTCATCAATATTAATCTTACAATTTATGTAGAATAATTTTGCAATATTCGTAACACTTTTAGTAATCTCATTCATTCAAAGTTTGTCGCAAACTTCACCACACGTATACGCATTTAAATTTCAAATTTCACCATCAACGCGAAATCGTACTGTATTTCGTGTCGATGCCTTTAGATTTTTGTTAGAAAGTTTTTGGCTCTCTCGTATTCGAATTTTCTGCGCCTAATAGAATATCGCGACAGATCGATATCAACGTCGATCTCTGGACAATGTTACACAGACTGATCATATACGACCGATTAATTAACCTGCGGCGTGTTGCGGTCTGCCTCGGTTTGTTTGCTTGTAAACAAATGATGTGGAATCAGGCTAAAAGCGCGATTGTTGATATGTCGACCGCTCTTTGCGTAATTACTTACCTTTGCGATTGTCATTAATACCAGATACACTGCGCATGGTGCAGTGCGCGGACGAAGGTGCCGTGTAATTAAATCCCCTTGTATTCAAGAACAATTACGCTTGTTAACGCGCTCGTGGAGCGCACTTCGCGGTTCTCAATTAGTTTCTCGAGTTCCGATATGAAGAGCAGATTTAACCCTTTAATTGCTGAAAATATCTTCACTTGCTTCTCGGTAGTCTAGATGAACAAAAACTGTTTGAATTTCGCGGAGAGTATCGTATAATTTATAATATGTTGACACGTTTTTTAATATACAGTCTTGACCATAAATATAATTATTATTATACTTATAAGTATTATTATTATAAATTTATTATAAATCACCTCTACAAATTGACCTTTTATATCTAAAAAAAAATAAATTAAGAAGTTTTATAAAAAAAATGATATTTATTTTTATAACAATTTTAATATCTTGTTTGGCTTTTGTTACCGCTTTTTCTAAGAAAATATAATAAATTGAAGTTTTACAATTTACATTGATGGCCAAGACTGAATCTTATTTGAAAATCATTTTATTTCGATTAAACTTAGTACATTTAACAAATTGCGATTCTTTCAATTCTTTATGTTGACATCTTCTTAATTCTAACGTATTGCATCGATATTGATTTAATTGTTACTAACATTGTCGGCCATTTATCAAGTTGCAGTTTCATAAAACTACTTTACACATATTATTGTGCAATGAAAATTATTCCATTTAGCATACTTGTTATTTGTCATTGAACGCAAGAATGGTCAATTATTGGCTTTTATATCTTTATTCACGTCGAATATGTGTGTTATGCAATAAAATTCGGCAGAACGCACTTTAACAGGATTATAAAGAGATGTCAAAGGTTGCTTAACAAGCAAGAAGAATTTATTCAAAATAACTAATCATTGTAATTAGCCATCATAAATAACGATGACTTTCAAGTAACGACTTTCGACAATGATCTGTTCATGGAATTTCAAAAAACATGTTTTTAAAAGCTTCGATAAAAGTTTTAGAGATATTATCTGGTATATGAGGAGTAGACTTTCAAAATTTGGTAATTTATAATTCTCAAAAAACGAGAAAGAAAGCACATAAGAAAAGTAAGAAAACTACGTGCTTTACAGAAAACAATATATCAATTAGTAAAATGTAAAATGTTAAATAAAATTGTTAAACAGTTGCTAAAAATTTTAAACAAATGCATTTTGTTTTTCTCTAGTTATAAAAGACACTATGCACTTTGAAATGTCTGTTTTTTTAGCACATAAATTAATGGTGAAAAAATGCTTTCTAAACATCTCAGAGTAGCTTATAATATGAGTCTTTCAACACTGAACACTACGCCATCTCAAACTCAAAAAATGAAATTTTGGACAAAATGCATTTTAAAAGCCTGCTCCTCATATATTTAGACTCTCCTTCATTGAAACAAAGTCTTACAAAGATAACACTTTACAAAACCGAACAATATTACAAAGACCTAGAAATTCTAATCTTTTTTGTTAGTTTAATCAGAATATTTTTCTCAGTGTTTATATATAGATATATAGATATTTACTTTCTTTAGCTTAACTTAACTTACAAGTTATCGTAAATGCTTTTACTGGATCCTTATATCTATTTTTTTTCTTTCTGTAATCTCTGCCTAACAATATCTGTCTACCTTTCACTAGAATTTTTGAAAGTTATTGTTCATCGCTCGCAATACTTTAGGGATGAGTCTTCCTCATAAAAGATAATGAACAGAGAAACGATGATAAACTGCTGAGAGCATGACATCAGCGGACAGATAATTCTATAAAATGTTAGGAACTTGATGTCATTAATCGTTAGAACAGAAACGATTAGATACAATTAATAATCAAATTAACGAGTAATAACGTCAAAATACTGTTTCAATGTGTATATTTAAAATGCGTTTCTGATCTTTGGAGAGTCTCGGATGGTCAATTTCTGTTTATAATAGGATAAAAAAGCGATAAAACTTTGAATAATTAAAGTTGTAAAGTTTCAAATATGCACGAAGATAATAACAAAATACATAAAAATACCAACAGAGAGTATCGATCAGTGAAAACATTTATTTCTTATGAAAATGAATTTTTAAGTAAATTTTTAATTTTTTCAGTTTCAGTTATTATGAGAAACGACATGCCGGCTCGTCTATTAATTTAATTAAATAAAGTAAGTTGAAATATTCTCTCGGATTGGAAATGTGCGCGGGTAGTCTTGTATCGGATTACGATCGTGTAAATTCCAGTTCCGACTGGCGAGGTCACTGATACCCGGTTAACGGAGGTCAGGATCCGCGTCTAGATCCGACAGTGAAGAAACCAATCTAGATCAAAGTAGATTGCCGTCACATGGCGGTGTCAACTTCCCAAGACGATTCATTGAAGTTTCAGTAGCGTACGTTTTATTTATCGCGCTAATTAGTATTGATGTACAGTAATAGTCGGTAATTAACTGTCAACATTCTTTAATAATTAATAATTTCTATTTCTTATTATCATCATTGCCTGATTATATTATCATTTACTTACAACAAATTAATATATGAAAGCATTAAAATATAATTTTTTAAATAATTTTGTCATCAATTATTGTCAATCAATAACTTTGTGTAATAATTAAATGGAGAACGCATAATAATCTAATTACTTGATGACTTATGATTTATGGCATATACGATAACGATACGATATAATTATTGTAACTTTCTTTATTTTTATGGTATCATTACAAGATTTGTTTCACACACCCTATATAAACACCACTATAATTCTCATTAAATTTCGACGCTATAGAAATATTAAAGAGCAGCGTTTTTCTTTCGCAGGTGCACGCTTTGCAATAATATTATGAGCACTGTTCATGATCGTTGATCCTGTTTTATAACATCGGAACGATTCTTTATTAACGTATCTACTTTGCTCTCGATTGCGTGTACACGAAAAATAAAAGCGTGGATAACATCGCGCTGATCGTAAAAATTCAAGTGCATCGTCGCGTCATCACTAGTTAACATACATTGCAGTAATTAACTAGTATACCGGCGAATAATTACCTCATTTATCGCGCGATCCGATCTATCAGATGAGTATCACGAGGCACGCGACATCGCGATGCAATTATCCCTGAACTTGGCAAAGCTAAGGAGCTTATAAGTATATCATATCGAAATCGTAATATACAGGGAAGATGATAGGATAAACGAATAAAAAGTAACACGATCGATTTTTAATGCAAGTCTACATCCCATCAAAAAAAGCGATCCTAATTCGAGAATTTAATACATATTTAACACTTTTATTCCTTTATTTCAAAACATAACTGACACAACTAAAAAAATGTAATTTTTTAGTTATTACCAAGGTTATTATTATGAAAGAGTTAGATAAAGATTATTCTATCAATCATTAAAAGTAAAATAACTTAACTTCTTATAAAAAAAGTCTTATAAAAAAAGCCAAATAGCACTCGTTCTTAAGGTTTTCAAAGAGATCA